AAAAACGTGAATTTCGAAGGAAAGCGTGAATTTCGAAGAAAACCATGAATTTCGAAGAAAAAAGTGAATTTTCAAAGGAAAACGTGAATTTCATGTGCTCATGGCGAAAATCAATAACCTCAAATCTAAGCTCCAACATATGCTACCGATTAGCCACCTTCTGACTATTTTTGAAATGGTTAAGTGGTATGCGTTACGCTTATTTCAAGGACCTTGACAAAAATTATGAGTGATTTATAAGAATACAAAATTTAGAAAACGCTGGACTAATTGTACGTAGTAAAATAAAAACAAAAAATATATTTTACGCAAAATGTCACTTTTTTAGAAATATTAAAGTTTGTGTTTCTTATCATTTAATATTAAAAAAAAACAGTGTTGATATACTTACAGGCGCTATACCTGGTTTAACATTTCTAAGTATATTCGGACGTACATATGTATGTAGGTATGTACATATGTATGAGAATATGTATGTATCTTCATTCATCAGTGTTACGAAGTAGAACTGCACATTTGCGGCTGACATGGATAATAAATGAGCACTCAGATACGTCGAACCCCTTTGGCCAATGTAAGAATTTTTATTCATTTATTTTTTATTTGTATGTATGTACATATGTGCATTAGGATATGGCACGAAAAATGTGCTGCTTTCCAGAATACTTTACCAATACAATATTATGTTTCAATGCAATTGCATTCATGAGCTGGGCCGCGTTGGAACTCCTCCGAAAATTACGTTAATTTTCATTAGAAAAAATGGGTTGGCAACTTTTTACCGTAAATTCTTATGGCAGATGATAAATGTTTAAAAGAACTTTGTATCATGTTTGTTGAAACTGAGGCGGGTTGTTCAAGATAAATAATTCCAACCATTTTTTTTACCAGTTTTACGCAATTTTGGATTTTCGTAGAAATTTGTAAAACTAACTAATTTTAAAACCAATTGAAGGTAGTATGAAGCAAGTTTTTTTTCGCCTCACAAATGACCCAAACTTGAAACAAAATATTTTATTGTGAGCCAATAAAAATTACCACATTTTATTACACATTGGGGGATCATACACATTACACATTTCCAGGTACGTATGTATGTTGATATATTTTTATGTTATTTATAGAATCGAAAGCTATCGAAGCTAATAAAATACATAAAATAAAAAGGTGGTGCTACTAAAAGTATCAGTGGATTGATAGCATCACCGATGCATAAAAACAAACATTTGCGTTTCACCGCACCAGGCATTAAGGTTAATTAGTATAAAATTGTGGACAGCAAGCAGCAAGGACATTGCATGCGCTTAGCATATGTACTATGTGCATTGAATTAAAAGTCTATCAACATTCATCTCTCTGTAGAAGCATATGAATGAAACAATAACTTTTGAAATGCAGTCAACTCTAAGGATTATCTGGTTGAATAATGTTTATTGTGTTCAATGAACAGAAATGATTCTTTGCTGTGAGCGGATTTTATGATTATACAACGTAGAGAAAATTTGTTTTTATATATAAAACGTGCATATGTATAGTAGCCGGCAAATTATTGCTCACATCGGTCATCAGTCGGCATTTTCACAGTTGCTTTGCTTAATACTAGAAATTGCTGATATTGTCCATACATATGTACATACATACATACGTATATATGACGCACTTGTTTACTCTTAAAATTTAAGGATATTCATTGGAAATTTTATTCATGAAATTTTCACCCTCATTGCGAGAGTCGTGTCGAATGCCAGTCGTTTTTCGAGAGTCGAATCGTATCGAAAATTGCACGTCATTGCCTAAAATTTCCACTCGACTAGTGTATTAAAACGGAAAAACTTGGCAGCACTGTATAGTTTTCGACGATTTTGGTCGTTTACTTATTTCATTACGACAATAGACAATGCTACTGTTGTCGAGTCGTACAATTTAGCCTAATTTACGACCTACGCAATGAGGCTGATTACTGCTGTTATTTGTGCTATTTACCTTGTGGTTGATTCACAACAAAATTCTATCAATTTACTTAAGTGCCAAACAAATCAACATAAGTTAATTAACAGCCGCAACAATCAGCTCACAAGTCATAAAAGACAATAACAAATAAGTTAAAAGCGACGCATATCTGATGTTAAAATATTTTATTAGGTGGAGGAAACAAAGGAGGTTATTTATGAGGACAAAAAAAGCATAAAATTGGATTTAAGTAATTAAATACATTCTCAAAATTATTAGTTACATTTTTTTTTCACCTTTTAAACAAAGCGAATGTGACTAAAAGCACAAACAGACGGCAGCGTTGATCCGGATCAACTCGAGTATTAACTGCTGTTGATCCGGATTAAGTCCGAGTTAAGCCGAATCAACGCTGCTGTCTGTTTAAGCTTTAAGCAACAGTGACTTCTTTTGGGTAAAATACCGTCTCTGTACTAAAAGAAATTTGTTTCGACAGAAATTTCTATATCAAAATCCCATACCGAGAGGTCTGTACAAATGGTATATAGATGAGTACTTGGCCTTTTATAGCAATATGCAGGCTGATGAAGGACGAAACCTGTGCCGTGAAAAGGGTTTGAAAGGCGCGTTTACAATTAGTTTTTACAGAACGCCCAAAAAGCTATCAGGCATAGGCACAGAGGTCATCACTGTCGCATTTTAGCGAAGGGTTAAGCGTGGACATAGCAATACTTAGATCCAATTCAGTGATTAAGAGATAACCAAGGTCAATGCGTTCGGATAAATTCGAGCGAGCGTGAGAGGTACTTTGATTACACCGTGCGACAAAAACCAACATTTTTTAAAACGCACAAAAAATCAATATATTCAGAAAACTAGGAGCTAAATATAGTACAACTGCGTTTTTAATTTTTAAAGGACTTTGAAATTTCCAGGATATGATTGAATAAAAAAATTATTTAAAAGATTTGGTGCATTGTAGAGTAACAACATGGGGATCAGTTAAAAGGAAAAATTCTGTAGAATTAAAAAAAAAAAAAATTTTGTTGCGCCACAACGAATAAGTATTGAAAATGTCCTTTTAAAATTTTATCCTTAAATATCCTTGGAAATTTCCAATATTTATTTTTGAAAAAAATATATGCCAAGGACTAACACGTAAACTACCACATCCTCGAATTTCGTCCTTCTAACTTTATAAGTTTTAGATAAAAAAAAAAATGTACACTTCCCTTTTTAAGATATTGATAGTTACAATATACATAAATGAAGATACTGGAATCGTTATTTTGGAACCATGTATGCGCTTTAAAAGAACAAACTGACCGTATACAAGGGCGTAGCCAACCTTTCACCAAAGGGGCCAGGAGTTTATATAGAGGGAACAAGTGTTTTTAATAAAAAAAAAAATTCTTTGTATATGCACATGAATAGAAATTTTTGGGATCAAGAAAGTCTAATTTTTGTACAATGTATCGAATCTATATTTGGCCCCCAGTTTTGTGAATATATTGATTTTTTCGTGTGTAAAATTGACTGTCACACGGTGGAAGAACTCAGCAAAGCATTCAACTGTGTCAGGCAAAGACTGAAAGCATTTCCCTTTGAAGCACATATAATAAAAATAAAAAAAAATAAAATAAAAAAAAAATAAAATAAAAAAAAATAAAAATTTCAAACTGCTTTAGGACTTTCATTTAGCTCAGCTTCCAGTCTACCAATTTAGCAACTATAAAGAAACTTATCCAGTACACTTAATTGATTCACATAGTTTGTATATTGATCTCTGAGAACAGCATTCGCAGTGTTGCCCTTATACAGTTTATGCTATTTATTACTTTTTTATTCTTAAAATTTTTTAGAGTAGTACTACGTAAGTAGTATACCGTGGTAGTTTATGAAGTCTAGGAGGAATAAGAGGTATTTTAGTGGAAAATAGCTAAGCCAACCTAGACAAGAAAATGTCAAAATAGACGCTCACATCATTAGACGGAAGAAAATTAGCCCATTTAATAACACTATGTGCGTTATTCAGTTTTCGAGAACCTAGCAAGAAAACTGCTTTTTTAACGTTTCGACACAACTCTTTTAGCGCCGGCTCCAAAATGGGCTCTATCGTAGGGATATCTCTACTGACTCGACTGATATTCGAATTTAATACTCCGTTCGACTTCCTGATTCTGCCAGTGTTTTTCAGGCTGAAGCGAGTGCTATCAAAGAGCTATAAAGTAAATTAATTTTTGTGTATTTTTTCCACTTGCATTTTTATATACTGCGTTATAAATTGACTTTTAACACTGTAACGTTTATAAAAAAAAATACTAAATTATTATTGACTTAGCCATTAAATAAAAAAAAAATAACCGCACTCATCGCCGTTGAGTAAACTAATTTTAAAGCGCATGGAAAAACTGCGCTCTTCTCTAAATAAATAAGTAAAAAAAAAAATGGAAAAGAAGAAGAAAACGCTATTAAAAACTCACTAAAAATTCGATGGAAATTTCCAACTATTTCAAAGTATAGAACCTAGCGCTGGCAGAAATGTGTAGCAAAACGAAAAAATTTTATAGTTGGAAGCATCAAAAAATGGTGAAATAAAAAGTATACAAAACAAACAAAAATACGAAGCGCAATATTGATACAAAAGACCGGATTGAACCAAGCAAATGCATAGAACGGAGGCACACAAATTCATACAAACGCTTCAAATGCTTCAGCAAATCTCGTTTTCATTCAGCAGCAAAAAAAAAAAAAAGTATTGCCAACAATTTTCGGTAACACACACTAGCACACGCACGCCAGGCGCCTCCCACTTCACCTCAATTCGTAACACTACCACCGTTGCGCCACTGCGCAAAATGCGATCATGCAAATTCCATTAGAATTGAAACATTTCGACGCTTACGACAAAAAGGGTGTGCGAACAAAATAAAAAAGTTTGATAGCGAAAAGCGCTGCATTGATAAATGTTGGCGGGGGGTGGGCGAAAATAAACAAGTAAACGGTTTTCAATAAAAAATAAATAAAAAACGAAATACGCAGCCACTCACCTCAACGGAAATGGTGAATAGCGGTGCATGCACCGGCCCAGTTTGCGACTCCAATTTATAAACCAAACCATGACGCAGCTCATTCAGCATGGCGACGGTATTCTTCGGTTGCGGTACACGCTCCTTGCCCGTACGTGGCTTCTTCTTTGGCAAGGCTGGCAGGAAACAAAAAAACCAAAATAAATAAATAAATAAATAAATGATAGAATAGAATAGTGAATTGCATACAAAAGCAAATTAATTATCCCTGAAAAGCGGAAGCTCAGTAAATCATCGTTTCCAACAACAAAACATCGGAGTATTGCTGCTTTGAAAGTGGGGATTTTGCAAATCAGCTGCCATTCCCATCCACCGCATTTACTAGCTACTAGTCATCAAAGCTATGCCGGAAACGAGAAAACTTCCGCTCCAATACAGTTATATTGCAGTGCACACTTACCTGGATACTTGGAACCCTCATAGCGACGCTTTGATGGTGACTTGCGACTATAGCCATTCATATTTGAATTATCTGCTGTTGGTTGTAGCAAAGGCTGCAGGGGGGCAGGAAGAGAAGAGAAGAAAGAAATTAGAAAAATTAAATTTGATTTCGCTAGTTGAATAGTTGCAGGCACATACAAGCATACATACATACATACAATCGAGCTAGTGACACATTTAGATAGATAGACGTACATAGATACACATATTAGGAGTACAACATTAAGGATTTTGGGTACTATTGTTTTTTGTTTTGCTGCTGATAGTTACAGAGAAACCAACACTCAAACATACGGTTAGACTATGGTAAATATGCAACTTTTACGATAGATCATATTGGTAAGTTAATAGTTATTGGGTAGTTCTTGGTGTAGCAAAGATAGAAAAAAATACTTAAACAGAAAAGACCAAAACAAATAAACAGAAAAATTATAAAAATAAAAAGAAAAAAGAAAACACAACAAAATTAATTAATTAAATGAAATGCTAAATAAAAAATAAATAAATAAAAAAAAAATAAAAAATAAAAAAAAAAATAAAAAATAAATAAAAATAAAAAATATATAAAAAATATAAAAATATATATCTAAAATATATGAAACAGTTTATAAAAAAATATATGAAAAAATATATAAAAAAATGTATAAAAATATATAAAAAATATATAAAACATTTATATAAGATATAAAAATAAATAAAAAATTAATAAATGAAAAATAATATCAACAAAAAACCTAATTAAATATAATAGAAAATACAAATAATAAAAAAAATAAAATAAAAAGCTACAAATTAAAATAATTACGAACAATAAAACATTATATATAATAAAAAAATACAAATAATAAAAAATACAAATAAGAAAAAATACAAATAATAAAAAAATACAAATAATAAAAAAATACAAATAATAAAAAATACAAATAATAAAAAAATACAAATAATAAAAAAATACACATAATAAAAAAAAAATACAAATAATAAAAAAATACAAATGATAAAAAAATACAAATAATAAAAAATACAAATAATAAAAAAATACAAATAATAAAAAATACAAATAATTAAAAAAATACAAATAATAAAAAAATACAAATAATAAAGAAATACAAATAATAAAAAAATACAATTAATAAAAAAATACAAATAATAAAAAAATACAAATAATAAAAAAATACAAATAATAAAAAAATACAAATAATAAAAAAAATACAAATAATAAAAATAAAAATAAAAAATATAATTAAAAAAATAAAATAAAATAAAAAACGAAAAATTGTAAAAAATTAAAAATAACAAAAATATATAAATGTATGTAACCAAAAATCCAAACCATTTAAAATTAACATTTTTGTGGTAAAACAATGGTTGAAGTTACTAGCTGCCTTTTTGGAAACCTGTTGTTTTTCAACAAAAAATTTCATCAAAAACGGCCGCAAGCTCAATAAAATTGTTAAATATAAATTGATATAAGTCAAAAAAATAGCAGCGAAAAATAAATTTGAAAAATTTAAAACCAAAAGAAATTTTGAAATTGAAAAACTAAATGCCGATGACTTTCTTAAGCCAAGAGCAACTTGTTTACCCTTACGATTTAATGAAACTTATGGAGAAGTATGTACCTAACAAAATATATTTTGAAACTCCATTGAAGCAGACAAAAAAAGTGTTAGGTTGAAAAAAAAATAATAATTTAAATTTTACGTATACAAACTAAATAAAATTTTACATTTGAAGATAATTAAAAATTAAAAAATAATAATATCGAATAGTGTAAAAATAAAGAATATAATGAATTAAAAGGAATATATGTACAGTGGTCCACAAAATAATAGGAGTGCGTTATTTTGGTCAGTTTTTGCTATTTGTCTTTTGTTTATTTAATGTTTATTATTTTTATACAAAAGTCAAGCTGGGTATACAACAAACAACGAATAAATTCAGATTTCAACCTTTGTACAAAAATTATTAAAATTCTGTAAATTTTCACCAAAATATCAAACTTTTTAATCAGAATCTTCAGAGAAAATTGTGGTATGCAGTTTTATAGCCCATTCAATTCTAGTCTGAAGAAGTGCAAGTTTCAAGCTGCTAAAAAATTNACACTTACCTGGATACTTGGAACCCTCATAGCGACGCTTTGATGGTGACTTGCGACTATAGCCATTCATATTTGAATTATCTGCTGTTGGTTGTAGCAAAGGCTGCAGGGGGGCAGGAAGAGAAGAGAAGAAAGAAATTAGAAAAATTAAATTTGATTTCGCTAGTTGAATAGTTGCAGGCACATACAAGCATACATATGTACATACATACAATCGAGCTAGTGACACATTTAGATAGATACACATATTAGGAGTACAACATAAAGGATATTAGGGTATTTTCGTTTTTTTTTTGTTTTGCTGCTTGATAGTTACAGAGAAACCAACATTCAGACATACGGTTAGGCTAAGGTAAATATGCAACTTTTACGATAGATCATATTGGTAAATTAACAGTTAGTGGGTAGTTCTTGGTGTAGTAAAGATAGAAAATAAAAATAACATATGTAAACAGAAAAAAACTTAAACAAAATAAATGTAAAAACATAAACATAAAAGACCAAAACAAATAAACCGAAAAATTTTTTAAATAAAAAGAAAAAAGAATGCACAAAAAAATCAATTAAATAAATGAAATGTTAAATAAACTAAATAAAAAATAAAAAATAAAAAATATATGAAAAAATATATAAAAAATATATGAAAAAATATATAAAAAATATATGAAAAATATATAAAAAATATATGAAAAAATATATAAAAAATATATAAACAATACAAAGAATAAAAAATACAGAAAATTTAAAATAATAAAGAATTAAGAATAAAAAAATTAAAATGATAAAAAATTAAGAAGAATAAAAATTATAAATAATAAAAAATATAAATAATAAAAAATATAAATAATAAAACACAAAAAATTATAAAAAAATCTATGTAATAAAAAAATTTAATAGAACAAAAATAAATTGTATTCAATTTTTTGAGCTGATGCATATGTTTGTGGTAAAACAATGGTAGAAGTTACTAGCTTCTATTTCGGAGACCTGTTGTTTTGTTGTTTTTCGACAAAAAATTTCATTAAAAACGACGTCAAGTTCAATAAAGTTTTTAAATATAAATTAATATAAGGCAAAAAAATATCAACAGCGAAAAATAAATTTGACAAATTTAAAACCAAAACAAATTTTTACATTGAAGAACTAAATGCCTATGACTTTATTAAGCCAAGAGCAAGTTGTTTCCTTTACGATTTGATGAAACTTATGGAGAAGTACTTAACAAAATATATATTGAAACTGCATTGCAGCAGAAAAAAAGTGTTAGGTTGAAACATAAGTAATTAAAAAAAAAAATACATTCGAAGATTTTAAGTTTTTTACTCAACTTTGATTAATAAAAATTAAAATATCGAATAATGTAAAAATACTGAATATAATGAATTAAAAGGAATATTAAAAAGTTATTAAAAATGAATTAAAAACAAAAATTTAATTAAATATATAGTAGATATATAAAATATAGTAGAAATAAAAAAAATATAGTAGAAATAAAATATATGGTAGAAATAAAAAAATTAAAAGTAAAAGATACAAAAAATTTAAAGAAAATAATAAAATGGGAAAAATCTAAAAACATTAAAAATAAACAAAAATATAACATCAAATAATTTGAAAAACAGATGGAAAATTAAAAAGTAGATGTCAAAAATATAAATAAAATATTAAACAAAAATAAAAACATTTAAGTGCTTTTATGGCCTTCTAAATTTTTTTAGTTTTTATTACGAAATCGAGCATTCGTTTGTTTAATTGGGGCACAAAATATCTCCAATATGGGTATCGAAAATTATTAAAAAATATCAACTTTTTTATTATTACAAATACACACAACATTGATTTATTTAGGTACGTTTATTAATACTTAGTTAGGTTAAGAGTAAATACTTTGTTGCACATCAAACAATCAAATACATAATAAGGAATGCTATAAGTTTAAAATAAACACAAAAATAGTAAATGCTGTCTAATACAAAATACATGTACCATTGAAAAGTATATATAACATATACAGCTGCGGCCAATAAGATAGTAGTAGTAGTAGTTATTTATTTATTTTTAATAGTTTTCGTTTAAAATGTATTTCAATTTATAACAGAAACCACATAAATAAAAGTTTCAAAGCTCACAAAAATTTATCAAACCTAAAAAAAATGCCATCAAAATTTCAAACTTTTTACTTAGGATTTTTAGAAAATTTTCGAGTATGCAGTTTTGTAGCCCATTCAATATAATAAAGTGCAAGTTTCAAGTCCCTAAAATTACCGTTGATTTTTTAGAAATTTTTAGTCGCGGGTGTTGAGTATTTTCTTCCATGTAACGTATGTATGAACAAAATCTTTTTTTTTTTTACATGTATAAAAAAATCCAATGCGCATTTTCTTACACATAAAAATAGCTTTTGTCCAAGCGTTATATGGAAAAAGCGAAACAAAAAAATTTAAAAATCAGCGGTAATTTTTGGACTTGAAACTTGCACCTTATTGGACTAAACTTTTATGGGCTTCAAAACTGCATAATCAAATTCTAAGAAATCGAATTAAAAATTTGAAGATTTTAATGAAAACTTGTTGGTATTTCTTGAATTTTCTCGAGTTCTATATGAAATTGAAAAATTGATATTTAATGAACTATATTTTTATAAAAAAAAAAACTAAGAAAAATATGTTATGGAACATACAAATAAAGAAAATCGTCAAAGCGTCACGGTATTCATATTTTTGACGCTGACTGTATGTATCTCGTTTTTAGGAACTGCGCTAATGGAGACTAGACTTTATTCGTTTTATTACATTGAAAATAATAGTCACCAATTCCGTTTACGCATAACATTTTTTAAATAGCACAAAGTTTTTCTCATTTCAATCCCTAGTGGAAATTCGGCATAATAAGGATCTATTCTGTTTCTCGATTTCTCGCAAAGTTTTTGCTCACGCTTGTTTGTGATAGT